AAATATTAATTACTGCTATATCCCTAAGGTCTTCTTTTTTTTTTTCACTGCTTCATCTCTAAAGTCCACTTTCAGCTCTTCTTCAAAATTTTTTGCTGACAAAGAAATTCTAACAGAAACATCCAACACACTTTCCAAGTATTAAAAAATAACCATTTGTAAGTGAGCACATCAAAGTATTTGGTCAAAAGGAAAATCTTTTTTCTTGCAGTTTCTAAATAATTTTAATGTTGTAGAAACTGAGAAGTTTCCTTTCAAATAGAAATAACAGACTTGTCTAAAATGGAATCAGAATACAATTCAAATATATACTTCTGTCTTTCAATCAGATTTCAAGAGTTTGTTTTACTAATTTCCAAGAACACAAATGGTTCTCTGGTTCTTAAATTATTACACTAATCTTGGAAAATACTTTTCAATCATTTTGTTTTCATAATACATTTTCTACTTTTTATCAAAGTCAAATTCCTGATTATTTTTTATTTCTACAAAATAAGAAATGAAATATAAGATGGCCTGATTGACTCAATTAAACAAATCTATCATACAATCCATATTATTTCATTGTAGTAGCAATAACATAGATTTTACAAGTTTAGAAACCAAAAGTGAGTACATTACAAAAACAAAACCGATACAAAGAGCTCAATCTGACAGAAAAAGAAATCAGGATTTATTCCACCAAATGGCCTGTCAAATGAAATCTATCCCCACCCAATCAAATATATCTAATCTGACCACTCTGTCACCACCAAATAAAATCCCTCTGAACAATTAAACATAATCCCTATAGTCAAACTGTTCCACCAAATGAAATCTCTCTCTGCCCAAATTGCACTCGTCAAATGAAATCTTACTACCTAATTAGATTTCATTTCTTTATCATATTTGCTGGATCTGGATCAGATGAAATCTCACTGCTCAATCCAATGAAATCCTACTTTCCAATCCAATTCATGAATCCCCATGGCCCAATCAAATGAAATCCTACTTTCCAATCCAATTCATGAATCCCCATGGCCCAATCCAATAAAATCCCACTACCCAATCTACCCACAAAAAATTCCTTCTGCTCAATAAAATTCACTTCCACTAGCCAACCTACTTCATCAAATGAAATACTACACAATCTGTTTGAACAAAATGAAATCCTTCTACTGAATTGGGTCCATCAAATAAAATTCTTCTACCCCCACCAACTGCAATCTCTGTACACAAACCAAATTAAATCTCTCTTCCGAATCATGCCCTCCAATCTGCAATCCATGTACCCATCTGCCTAATCTTCCCACTACTAAATGAAATTCTTCTGATTCTTCTCCTATCAAATGAAATCCCTCTGCCCAAACTTACCCATCTATAAAATAAAATCTCTCCACACTCACCAAATGAAATACCACATACCAAATGAAATATCTTCACTCCCACCAAATGAAATACCTCTACAACCGTAAAATGAAATCCTTCTACCCACACCAAATGTAATCCTCCTTCCCAATCTTCTCCCTGCCAACTGAAATCTGTCTACCCCACCAAATGAAATCCCTCTACCCAATCTCTCCACTACCACCAAATGAAATCCCTCTGCCCAATCTCTCCACTACCACCAAATGAAATCCCTCTGCCCAATCTTACCCCTTTCCCAAATGAAATACCCCCACCTAATTTTTCCCAATACCAAACAAAATCCCTCTGAAAATTAAATATCTAAAACATCTTGCCATGGATCAAGTGAATAAATATAAGTTGTTAAAACTGATAATAGCAACATTTCTTTTTATTTCTGTTATACTTGAACTGTGTTAGATTTCTGCAAGGCCAACTTTCTCGTGCATTCAGAAATACTGAAATTACTCCCAAAAAGGACACTAAACAATTCACTGCTACCAAAGACAGTTTAAATCCTGAATCCTTCGCTTATTGCTTATGGCCAGTAAAAAAAAAAAAAAACATACGAGCAGGTGTTAAAGTGAAACTCACATTTACCACTTGGATGTATGAAGAAAAATTAACAAAGTAAAAATAATAAAACAAAAAATAAACATGAAGGTCTCCATTACAGTAACTTGTTGTGAATTTTAAGAGAACACCATAAATGAATGGTAAACCCATAAATCCTGATTAGACAGAACTTGTGTTCAAGATAAATGGCAAGTTAAAGTAGGCTGCAGTTAGAAGGAAGGAGAAGGAAAAGGAGGAATGCTTAATGCAATAAAGTGACTGAAAATGACTTGTTTTTAGCCATAAAACTTTGTGCCATTTCTTCCAAAGAGTCATTTACTAAAAATAGACAAATATTCTTTAGCAAACAATTAAAATAAAGAGAGAGGACATAAAAGTAACTCAAAAAACAGGATTGATTTATAAAATGCAGTTTATTTTGTTAACATTTCAATTTATTTATTTACACCTTTCTCAAGGTAACAGCTAAACATTAACAAAATCTACCACATTTCCTTTTAAGTCAAATATTGATTACATTCAAGTCTATTTTTCTCAGAGTTACTTTCATCTTTTATTTCTTTACTTTAGATTTCATTTTAAAATAAGTTTCTGTTATTTGAATTTATAAAAACCAAGTTTTTTTTTCTGTCTTCCATTATTTGGTCTAATATCCTCATTTTGGTTGTTTAGATCTCTACAGTTCAGCCAATGCCCTTCAGTTTTCCTTGAGAATAACATCAACTAAGTTTTTTAAAAGGTGTGGGCAGTGGAATTGGGGATGGTAAAAAAAAAAAAAAAATGAATGCACATCTATTTGATTAGTGGGAAGGGGGATTCCAATCTGTTAAGAATGACTGCAAAACACTTCCTTAATTTAGAAGCACACAAATGCATGCTGGGATTTTTTCCTAGCCAACATAATAAGCCAGTTCTCAGTTTCATATGACTTAGTTCTGGTCTGCCTTGAAGTTAGAACACTATGTTCGTTTGTCTGAACTTGCTTTTGTGTGTCAACCCCAATTCTTAGTTTGTGAACATTTTGCCATATAACAGTTGCTTTGCCTTATTAATGTTAATTTGCTTTGCATATATTGTTTGCTGGCTTTATATTATTTTTGCCCTGTTCTTTTCTTTTTCTTGCTATTGTTTATTGAAAACTTTGTAAATACTTTTTATTGGACACTTCTATTACTTATTTTGAATTTAACCATAGCTACTCACTGCACAGAGATGGTAACCAGATTTTATCCTTTGTCAACAATAGCTCTTCAATCTCCAATTTGAATAATACTTAAATATAAACAAAAATGCAGACATATACTATGATTACCTGAAGCAAAATAGATTATAGGATGACAAAAGAACTCCTCTGCAGAAACAGTAATCAGAACAGCAAATATGAGGCTACAAGACCATATGGTTCATGGAATAACATGCATATGGATAGATAAACACATGATAAGGTTTTGCTTGTAAAGAGTGTTCCAATAGCTTGAATGGATTTTAAATGTGAATTAAGTTTAAGCGTCTAATGATTTTTTTCTTTTTCTTTCAAACTCGGCAGACATTTGGGCAATATTATTTTTCACACATAATTGCCATGACTTAAATAACATGATCCAATAGAGAAATAAGTAAATTTTCACCAATAACACTGATTTATTTACTGCTGACTTTGATCCGTCTTAATGAAACACCCTTATATATAATCCGTTTTAATGAAACACCCTTTATAAGAAGGTTGGGAAAATTCTCAGTTCAATCCACTTCCCAAAAATATATCCAAATAAGCAAAAATTAGGAATTTTTTTTCATGGCAGGTGAAGAGTTTCTTATTTGTGTAGAGAATTTTTCAGTACCTCCTCATATATGTCATTAAATATCAAATATTCAGATGACTAAATCATGAACATTTCAGCTTTGATCAAATTGCAATTAAGCTACCAGAAATTTCCAAATCCTGTTTTGTTATCATGCAATTTCCATGTTAAATGCTTTGAATATTCAGTGTAGAAAAATCACCCAAAATGCCTGTTATTTTTACTTATTCACAATTCAAAAACTGTCACTTTAGTTTATAAAAATTAAATGTTTCTGGCAATATTTTGAGAAGATTTAAAAAAAAAATAATAATAATAAACTCATGAATTGTTTAGATAACAATTTTGTAAAAATTTCATACTTAATTTATAAAACATCCACACAACACACACTAACAGAAAGTATTAATAGCAATATAAAAATAGGTAGCAGTATGTTTCTGTATTAGTTATTGTATGGATGAATGTGTGGTCAGGTGAGTGTTTGATAGAGTGGATGGCCCCCACATCATTCTTGTCTAGTTAACTGATATTTCTACCAAAATTTAGGATTAGGTGGGAGAGGAATCCCCCCCTCACCCATTACTAAAACAGTTTTATTTAGTTTTGTAAATAAGATTATCATTGTAAATACACACTGAGGTTAAATTTTTAAAAGTTATTTTTATTTTCACTACACCCCTCCCCACACACACATACAGACACCTGTACATGTGGGGATTGGGAATTATAGTTAGGATGTCATAGCGAAATGGTATGAATGGTAAGAATGTGCTGCTTTAATAAAAGGAAAATTATTGTATGATTGGGTCAGTGATTGTGGCTAGATAAGTTACAAGGCTTTCCCCTGCCCGCTAATTTGGCTTTGTGCCTTATTCTGGTCATTACAAAATTCTGTTAATGAAAAGATTAAAATTTTCTGGGAGACTGCAATAGGCACTTCGAATAGTTCTTTGCTGACAAAGACAAAATGTTTGAGAAAGATAGAAGTATGAAGTTGCCTGAAGAAAGGAAGAAGATAACAGAACAGAATGGTAAAAGGATTAGTCAATAAAGTTTATGCCTAAAATAAAACATATTAATTGATTTTTTTAATTTAATAAACCAAATTAATTTTTGTGGGAACCATCCAATGCTCACACACATACCAATGTGTAGATCTTTTTCTCTAAATATAATCAATGTGAGTTCATATGAAAAAAAGGAAAGAAAAGAAAAACCCCAAATATGAATTACCGTGTTCTTGGAGAATTCTTGAGACCTCTACTGCCTGGAAAATGCTTTGTCTGATCTAGAGCAACTTTAATCATGTCATATCTGTAAAAGATAACAACAAAAACAATGAATGGAGTCCATATTTTCTTTTCCTTCAAATAATACCCATTGGCATTAAACTGATCTTTTTTTTTTGTTTCTTTCTAGCAGGCAGCAACCATTTTTTTTAACTAATTCCAAGTCTTTTACATGTTTTGGGATACTAATTATCAACAATGTTTAATGCTAAAAAGAGGCTACTCAAAAGGTTACTGAAATAGATTTTTGTGTGAGGGGCAGAATTTATGTGAATATGTGTGAAAGACAATAGTTAACACTAAACTTGAAGAGGTTAAGATTGTAATGGTTGAAAAAGAATCTTCCTGGGATTCTGTTCAACAAAGCAACAGTTCTTAGGGAAAAAGCTATCCAAGTGGAACTTAATCCTTACTGATGGAATATAAAAGGAATGCGGGTGGTTCGCCAAAAGGTACACAGCATAGCAGGAATGTAGTTCATCTGAAAATTTTCCAGGGAAATCATGTTAAAGTAGTGACAAGGTTGCACAGTTTCATCTGTGAGAAAAGGGTTGTCAGATGGAAAAAATTAATCACCCACAAAACAGTGTATATTCTTTTGGATTCTGTGAAGACTGGGTAGCTCCAGCCCATTTATGGTTTTTGTAAAGATAAAGCATAGCAGTAGGAGTCAGGTACTTACTGGAGTGATACAAGGAACTGACCATTTTTCCAGCATCTTTAGTGATGGATTATATATACAAATTCCACTTGAGGTCAGCTTAAATCCCAGTAGGCATTCAAGGCAAGGTGTCCCTTTAAGAAAACACCCTTTCACTGCGATAGGAAGAAATTCAGGGGCTGCTCAGTGATGATAAAACATTACAAGTTTGGTTTTTGAGGTACTGAACATGATCAGCCAATTTTTCCTCCAACAAGTTGTTAAATCGAGGTTAATGAAGAGATCAGTTGCCATGCTCTGGTCATTTAGAGTTTTGGAGGTGCACTCATATACCGTTGTATCATCTGTACAGGTATTCGCAAACGAGCAGAGTATACCCTTAGGCAGACCATTAATATAAAGCAGAAAAAAATATAGGACCTTAGAGGATGCCTGCATTGATTAATGATGTCTCAGAAGACAGGTCATTAACAATGACTTTCCTGAACCTATCTGATAGGAATTGATAGTTGGAAAAACTCTTCCAATTCCTAGAGAGTTTGTGTAGCAAGGTACTATGCCATACTGTCTCAAAGGCCTTTGAGATATCTAATGCAATCATCTATGTGATGTGTTTATTGTCTAATGCCTCACTGATTCTATGAGTACTGATAAAATAACAGCAGTCTTCTTCTTATCAAGTTGCTACACCACACCCATCCAGTGTTTCACACAGAGCCTAGGGTGTTATGGTTTCAAAGTCATTAAGTGTGCATGGATTGGGGGGAAAAACTAGATGTCCCATAGTTTGTAATCGCCTGTATTGGTAATTGGGACTAACATTGGTGGTATATCCCCATTTCTGAAGGTTGTTTTTATATCGACCAACAGCTTTTTGGAGAAAATTTAGACAGGACCAGAAGGGCCAGGCATCAGTGGAGCCCAGAGGAGGGATTCTGTAGGGCTGAGAGGATGCCTGTGTTCCATTTTGTTAAGATCACTGCACCACAGGGACAGATGCTGACTAGGAGCTATGTTGTTCAGTGGTTCAACTGAGTGTAAAAAGCTGTGTCTTGACTTTAGCCTCTTAGTTATTGGTTCACAGATGATACCAGAAGTTGACCAAGCAGATTGAAATTTGTATTGTTTGTAATAAATTTGGTTATTGCAAGAAGAAAATCTTTAAACCCATTGTACATGAAAAATCATTTTTTTTTTAAATGCTTCTGAAGATTTACATTTAAGATTTTTTTTTAAATGTTCCTCATATTTTATTTGATGTTTAATTTAAATGCAGCATGCAGACAAATCTCAAAGAAAATGTTAGTTTTGTCTTGTTTTTTTTCTTCCTCTTGGGCCGGCCAAATACAATTAGTGCATTTTAAATATATAACTGACAATGAAAAATGAAAGTGACTCACGTTTGATTGGAATGTTGATTTATATTTAAACACTGCACTTCGTCATTGGCCTGAACTGGAGAGTCAGAAACCATGAAAGACATTTGATCAGAAGAAAACTGTTGCTGCTGGTTAGTTCCATCATCGGTATTTTGCCCTGAAAGTCTTTCAGAGTCCAAGACTTGGGAACTTTGTGACAATATTTGGTCATTATCTCTAAGGAGAACAAAACAAAAAAAAAATAAACATGAAACATGTACTTCTGTGACACACATCAATAATATGATTATACATGATTATGTAGGACAGGTAGGTAGATCACCAAACTTTTTAGACCATTGACCACCTACATGGAATCCTTGACCCTTTATCAATCAACCCCAGGTATGTATAATAAATAATAATTAGACTGATATGCAGTTTCCCTATGCATTAGTGACAGAAACTGTGGCAAGACTTTTGTTCTGTATCCCCCTTCCTCCCTTACAAATAGAAAAGGAGAGAAACAGGATAACGTCTATGCAGTACCAAGTGAACTTTATAATATATTGGTAACCATTTTATTGAATAAAATGGCAGTTCCTCTATAATGGCTGACTATTGTCAGTGCATCAATGGTAGCCACAGTAATAATATTCTTGTAGACACTATTTAGATTTTTTCAAAAAATAAGCATCAAAGACATTCAAAAATTGTCTAATGTTTTGCAAAACTTTTAAGGAATTTGGCAAACAAATATTCATCATTAACAATGCATTTTAGGCTTTGCATTATATATATATATATATATATATATATATATATATATATATATATATATATATATATATATTGTGTGTATTTAGGCAGCATTTTTTCATTCATACATGTTTCATTAAATAATATAGACAAGTGTTGTCTATTTATTTTATGTAAATTCTTTTCATAACGCCTGATAATTATATATAATTGGTAACAGTAGCCATTATTTTATACCAATGGCTTCCCATACTTAATACTTCTCGAATTCACTCTCACGTAGTCATGTGTAACATCATGAACTGCGGTGTGATTTTTGCTTCTAGCATCTTATATGCACATGTTTATCATTGCTTGGAAATCATCCATGTAAACAGTAACAGACTATCATCACTGTCTTGTCATATATTGCTTAATATATTCTACAGTAATTGTCATCTTTGATAATGGCTTATGTAAACCGAAAGCTTAGATTGGATTAAAAAATATGGATCAATATTATGATTTTCTTTCTTCGTTTAATGATAATGTTATTAAGCTTATCAGATGTTATAAAAAGAATTTACATAAAATAAATAGAAAACACTTGTCTATATTATTATGAATATATATATATATATATATATATATATATATATATATATATATATATATATATATATCACATGTCATGAGATGCTGCTTAATGGAGTCAGATGAAAAAATTGCCTTGTTAAAGTTCAGATGTCAAAGTTTTCTTTACATCATTGGCCATCTCATCAATGCATTGTCTCACTTTGAAAAGGAGTCCACCATAGTCAGGATCATCAAATGAATGCAAACAATCTTTTTCTTAGCTGCATAGTATGTGCTTTGTCAGGGCAACATACTGTTTTGAATTCAGAATTGTTCTTCTCCTAGACTGGTTGCCATCCAAGACTATAGAACCCAGTCTGTCCTGCTATTTTACCCATAGCTGCAGGGTAAAGAGATGGATTCATACATTTCCCAAGTTTATTAGCATGTAAGTGAATGTAATGAACTCTACTGGAATTCGAACTTGTCTCTCTGATTCCTCAATCTGAGCCACAATCCATTACTCTACCATGCTTTACTTGCACTTAATGTTATATATTTTAAAATAGGCTGAGAGTTATTTTTTTATAGCATTTTCCAAACGTTTTTAATTGCGGCTGTATTAAGGTTGAAATCTTTCTTTATAATCAGAATTGACAGCAGATTTTTTTAAAAATGTCTCCAAATTTGATCAATTTCCGATATTTTTTCTTCCATTTCCTTAAAAAAAGAATTAAGCTAAAAGTAGCCTTTCATCGTCATATGTTTCATGGCATCATTACTGGAAGGTTTTCTTTTCATTTTTTTTTTCACCTCACAGGCACATTGTTTCATTAGTAAACAAAAGGATTACTCTTCGAAATACTCTTGTGAAAATTACTGTCATTTCTTAGCATTAATTAATCTTTTCTTTCTTGTCTACAAAATTAAGAAATCAAACATCTTCCCCTTACTAATTAATAAAAATAACAACAAAAGCATAGATTTTCTTAGACATGATATTTTATTTTTTGCATTCTCTAAAATATTAAAAATTACATATGTTCTCTTCTCTTCTGAGCAATTAATAAAATTAATAAAATATTAATTAATAAAAAATAAATAATATAAAAAATATATATATATATATGAAAATTTCTTAGAGTTAACCTGTAGAAAAGACAATATTTATAAATATAAATGACAATAGGAAAACTGTAGTTATTGCTGACACATTTTGTCCAATGTGGACTTTATCAAAGCAAAAAACAAAATGAATTCAATTAAAGAAAGTAACTAATAATAACAAAAAACAGAATGTTCTTAGCAACTGAAGGAATGTAGAGAATGCTATTTTCATATTGTTAACTGAAAATAATGTCAGACAACCAAAACAAAACTAATAACATAATCCGCAATAGTAAATTACATTAAAACAGATACATAATACTACCAACCAACTCTGTCATGTCCACTATCCAGAATAACCTTTCCCATCTAAATAATCTTAGAATAGTTACAAACACTTCCAAAACCATTATGGATATACTAAGATCTTCAAATACTAATAGCAATAATATTTCTGAAGCAGGCATTTATAAAATAAATTGCCAAAACTGTTCCAATATATTGGAGAAACAAGTAGAAATTTTAAAAAATGCATTTATGAGCACAAAAGAGACCTCACAAAAAACAACTTAGCTAATGCACTAGTTATACATAGAAATAAATTCAACTACAATTTTGATTTTAAAAATGCTACATTCATAAAAAAAGAAAATAACTCGCTCAAAATTCTAGAGAGTGCACCTTAGAATATAACCCAAATATTAATTTACACCCAGGCTTTTTCCCTATTTCACCTTTCTTAACAAAATTACTGCTCTCCCAAACAAACATACACAACAATATCGTAAAATCAAAAGAAAATGCTTGAATCCGCCAACACAGTTATAATGACAATATTCTCCACATGTGACAATAACTGACGCTATTTTCGGTTAACAATATGAAAATTGAGTTCTCTACATTCCTCCAGTTGCTAAGAACATTCTGTTTTTTGTTATTATTAGTTACTTTCTTTAATTGAATTCATTTCGTTTTTTGCTTTGATAAAGTCCACATTGGCCGAAACATGTCAGCAATAACTACAGTTTTCCTATTTTCATTTATATTTATAAATAAATATATATGTAATAAACTATAATAATATATATTATAAATATATAACAAATACATATAAATATATAAAAATAAAAATATTAATTAATAAAATATTAATTAATAAAATTAATTAATAAAAATTACAACACGTCAGATGTTTTACAATATTTTAACAATCCATGAAATAATACCCTTAAATATACTTGTTGTTTATTAATCTTGTCATTTTGGTTGATATTACATGGAAACACTGATTCTCATACAATCACCAAAGTTAAGCAATGTCAAGCCTGGTCAGTACCTACATGGGTAACAATTTGAGAATACCAGGTGCTATAAGACTGAATGTGTGGGTGATGTAATGGATAAGTGTGCGGAAATTCAAATTCTAAGTTGATGTCTGGCATGGGATAATTCATTTCATGGCTTGAAAGAAGTCTTTAGACTTGGTTGACAGTATTTCTAGATGTAGTGTCTCAACAAAAAACACCTAGATGTAGGATTGGCATCCTACAGTTTTTATCAGCTACATCAATCAAACATAAAATTCTTTAACCAGAAATAAAATAAAATGGAACAATTATATGTAAATTTATATCCTTAACATATGGAAGTTTTTCAATTTTAATGTAATCCAGAATAGGTCAGGTGAAATAATGAGAATGTGGCTCTTGTGTATTAAAAGAAAAACTTTTACAACATCTCTGACTTGTAACTTACATGACTTAAAATTTTGATACTCATCCAAAAAGAAGTAATTGTTATACAACAGACAAGGACCTTGAGAGACAGAAATGCCTTTGGAAACAAAGAGCATTATCTAATTAACAAAGACATTTGATGATCAAGTTGTATCCAATCAGAACAAAGGTGATGGAAACACAATAGATAAATGTGTCAACGTAAGAATATTGTAATTCTTTGTTATTTTTTAAATGGCCTTAATACAATGATCATCTCTTGTTAGAATAAAATGGTGGATGAAGATTAAAAAAAGAAAGCAGCAACTTGTTTAATAAAACCACATTGTATTTAATTGCTTACCGTGTTTTGTCAGTAGAAAATTTGAGGAAATTATTTTGATTTGAACATACAAGGGTGAGATCTATGTCCGTGGAAGCAGAATTTGAAGCAGCCCATTGGACAGAATCTGTGGATTCCTGAGTGAACGGAAGAGAGCTTTGAAGCTCTGTTGGTGCCTACAACATAGAGAACAGAAGGAAACCATCTCATCATTAGTCAATAGACAGATTATCGTTTCTTCCCCAGAACTGTTACTTTGTAGGACAGACTTCTGAGTGGATGCTTCCCTGACCACTATAATCTTAGCCTCTTCAAGACCAGAGTGAGTCAACCAATATCTATATGCTCTTCCTGCTTCTTCCTACTGTACAAAATACTCACTCAGTACCCTTCTACCATGAGTGGCTCTTGGGTGAACTAAAGTAACATTGCACTATCATTTATATTTTTGGTGGGGTCGGGTACCTGAACCATCTTTTAGAAACTATTAGTTTGTTTTTTTTGGGGTGAGGGGTGAGAAGAGGAGCATTTAAACCATCTATAACAAAAATTTCACTATTAGTTTATTTTCATTTTTAATTAAAGACTCAGGTTGTTTTTGAGGCTCAATATTTTTGTCAGTAATCAATTATTACCACAATTGGTATAGTAATATTAGCCAGTACTAATATTGGTTGAAATTTATAAAATCTTTCTTAAAACAATTTTTCAAGAAAATATTTTTTTTGGAGTCCAGTAGCTGTTATTGCTCTTTCTAGTATTGATGAGGGTTTCCTTCCTAACCATTCCTAAGCATTCAAGATGCTGACATTCCACACTGCTTATGGACCATCAGCATCTTGATGATGTCATTATTTTCCCTTCAAGTTACATGTGCTATCCATTTTAGTTGCTGATGCTATTTTTAATGCTCAAGAAATGAGTTTTCTGTTATTTGTTACAGTCCTTTGTTTGCGATTCTGTAGCACCAGTCCACAAGGTTTGAAGAAGTCTGATCATTGTCAAGACCCTTAGGCTTCACTTGTTTGAGGACTATGAACAGCAGCAACAACTAAAATGGATATCACATGTAACTCAAAGAGAAAATAATGGCATAATCAAGATGTTGACCTTCCACACTACTTCAAATAAAAGGTGAGGAAGGAAACCTCCATCAATACTGAAAAGATAACAGCTAATGGACTTGATAAAGCTATTTTCCTGAAAAATTATTTTAAGAGAAAGATTTTATAAATTTCAACTGAAAGCAATACTGGCTGCTCGGTAAATGAATGTTTCCTTATAAGGAAACGGCTAATATTACCATTACAATCAGCATATATATGTGCGTGTGTGTGTATTGCCTGACAGTCAATTTGTTATTAGATCTAATATTGTGATTTTTTAACGAACATCCTCAATAAAGTATCTTTAACTTTGTCCATAAACTTTCTCCCCTCCCCTTGTGAAGAAATCTGTTTTGAATGTTTCTTTTTTCAGGTTCTTACTTAGCAGCTGAACTGCTGTACCAATTCTAGCTCTAAAGAAACAAAAATTATCCAAGAATCTACAACTTTTCTCTTGTATTTGCAGAATCCCTTCAATTTAGTGCTACGTAAGAAAATAGGTTTTCAATTTCAGAAAGTTATTTAGTTTCTGTATGGATGTGCAAGTGGTGTAAAATGGATAGTGACACAAAATGCAAATTCAGAGGGCCTAATTCAAATTCCAGTCAGCAGGTTTGTTATATTCCCTTCTATCTTCTTCCCCAGCCTTAAAAAAAAAAAAAAAAAAAAGAGAGAGAGAGAATTCTTAGAATCAAAAATATGTTTTGGCATTAAGTAACCCATGAAGAGTTGCTAAGTCATAAAAAACATATCAACCAAGCATATTTTGTTTCTGTATGTTTTGTTAAGTAGTCTGTATTCATCATAGATACCAAAAAGCCCCAAACAATCAAAAACTAATTTTTTTCTAAAACAATTCCTCTCATATTTTAAACAGAGAAATGAATTTATCTTTTGTGTAAACAAACGAGAAATTTTCAACTTGACGAGTCAAGGGAGATAACTAGAGCCAACCACAATAATCTGATCTCATAAACTTTATAACAATGTCCGACTTACACGCAATAATTAGGATAAAATAAAAAATTGAAATTTTGCTAAGATACTCCAGCGTGTATAAATTTGTCTGGATCAATTTATTGACAAAACAAAAACGTAAAATGAATATCAGAACAAATCAATTTTAAATTTGTTGTAAACATGTAAATTCTATCATCAAATGTAAATGTTTGACCTGGTGGAACTAAAGTCTGAATATTTGCCATGGGAAAAATTTTTTTTTTTTTAAGCATTTCACTCCTAGGAAGGTGGGAAGCCACTAGCACGCAAGGGACTATAAAGGATTTGGAGCAAGAGCAGATAGGAGTGACAGAGGAAAGGATGAGGAGAAGGATAGTGGATAGATCAAGGCAACTGAAGATATCGATTGTCATTACATTTGAATAGTTGGAGATTATAGCTATCAGGGAAACAGGAAAAGGGAAGGGAGTTCCACAGGCGAGAGGTGCGAGATATGAAGCTATTGGAGTAGAAGAGACGGCTACATTTAACAGTTTCAACAGTGAAAGGGTGAGAGCGAGATGCCAGCCTCGTAGGACGCTTGAATTCGCAAAGTCTGGGAACCAGCGAAAGCAGCTCATCGGAGCAATTACCATGAAAGTATTTGTAAAAAAGATAGAGAGAGGCGACAGCATGTCTGTGAGAGAGCGATTGCAAATGAGAAGCCAGATCAAGGCCAATTATATTGCATATCCGTCTCTGCATCTTATCAAGAACCCCAAGGTAAACAGAAGTGATAATTATTCTGCAATTAACAGATTCAAAAGCATTTACATGCGTTTAAGTTGATATCAAGGAATTTGTTATTGAAAATAAGAAAATCATCAAAGTCAAGTTTTATTTTACCTGCCAACCAAATTTTACCAATCTTGCAAGTAGAGTCACAATCTTGGGGTGAATTAAAAGTTGCCTGTTGCCTGACTTATTCGCAGGGTTAATTCCAACCAAACACCTACAAAAAAAAAATAAAATAAAACGTCAAATAATTTATGTCATTCAATTCACTGTTTGAAAATTTTTTAAAAACCAGACTGAAATTGTATTTTATTTATTTTTTTATTTTAATGATTTCACCCCAAGCAAGGTGGGAATGCCACTAGTACACAAAGGATTACAGAGAGTGAAAGTGAGAGAAAAGACTGGATATAGGGGGGAATTGAGGAAAGGATAAAAGATGAATGGCATTCAAGAAGACAAAAGATGGCAATTGAAGTTACATTTAAATTTTTGAAGATTGTAGTTTTCCAGGAAGTAAGTAAACAGAAGGGAGTTCCACAGGCAGCAGTGCGAGAAAAAAACTGTTGGAGTAGAAGTGGTGGTTACATTTAACAGGTGTATAAATAGCAGTGTTAGGCTACTGATGGGAGTGATTATTGAGTGACTAGTGAGTGGAAGTATCCAGTCGAATTAGTGTGAATTATTATGCATCAATGATTTGGGTTTTGATTTAGAATTTACCGGATGTTAAGTCGATCCGCGCTACTAACAAGGTATTCACTGAAAGGGTTAATTATCTTTTATTTCTTTGTTCTTGTTAGGTATTTATTTGCGTTTGTAATTAAATACTGTTTTATTTTAACATTGAAATCTTGAGTTATACTTAATTATTAACGGCCACCATACATCACAAAAGAAACTAAACCATCTTTGCAATGCATCTAAATGAAAACATCAACAAGCAATGAAGATTGGAAGGGATAAGGGAGTAGATGAGAGGATACAGGCAAAGACAAAGAAGAGCAAAACTAAGATAATGTATAATCTTAGTTGTCAACACCTGTGAAATCTCTATGGGTATAGATAGTATGAATTATTAAGGGGGTACTGAAAAACACTTGACCTGACAAAATGAATTAAAAAAAAAATATTCTGATGTTTTGGACATTTGGTCAGAATTTGAGAAATGGGTTCGACAGAACTTTTCAGCACCCCACCCACCTATATACGTTCTGTTTTTAAATTGTACAGAGGCACTTGGAAATGTTTGCAAGTTTTTTGTTTTATTTTTGGTCATGGAGTAAAATGTAAATTGAAAACAAAAACGTGTAAGGGTGAGGGTGGGTAAGGGGGTTAAAGTAATTTGTCACCTTTGCATAAACTCCAATGTTGCCGAGGCTTCAACTGGATAGTGGATGTTAAAGCAATAGTAAGATGCAAACAACATCATGACACCGGTAATGAAATTAGTGATTTTGTCATTCACAATTTCTTTATCAATGCAGAGAACAAACCTAGAACTGTTACTGATGGAGTCTCCTGCAAAAAAAAAAAAAAAAAAAAGGAAATTTAGATTTTGTTATGGCAATATAGTGAATTAATTAAGGCAGTAAAAATTAGGGCCATCAAAAAATGTTATAAAAAAAGTCAGGTCAAGCTTAGGCCTGCTACCGGTAACATGTAACCCAGTAGAACCTGCTGCATGGACATGTGATTGGAATCTAAATCAGCTCTCACCCTAACTTTTCTGCTGGTGAGGAGGGTAGCATGTCACCCCACAGAACAAAATCAAGACCTGTCAAAGGGTGGATAAACTTCTTATAGAGCCAACAGCCAATCATTTTATATATATATATATATATATATATATATATATATATATAAATATAAACTGTTAGCACATATATATATATATATATATATATATAAACTGTTAGCATATATATATATATATATATATATATATATAATATAAACTGTTAGCATATATATATATATATATGTGTGTGTGTGAGTGTGTGTGTAGGTATGTAGAAAAATAGGAAAGAACACGTTAGGTAAATAATCCAGGGTTCTTTAGTGTATTGGCTTTATTTTTATTTTTAAAAAACAGTGCTCCATACAGAAGTAGAGCTTAGATTATAATTATTTTTTTAAAAATATGATTCCTTCGCTACATAACAGTTCTCATGTTCTCAAAAACGAGAGCCGAAACCATCAATATAATTATTAAAATTAAATTGAATTAAAGTAACAAGCCATGTTTCATCTTCAAGTGAAAATTTTAGGAACGCATCCTCAAGCAAAAATTTAGGAAGTTCCTAAATTTTTGCTTCAGGATGAAACAGGGCTTGTTACTTTAATTCAATTTAATATTTAGGGTTTAAACTCTCGTTTTTGAAATGTGAGAACTCTTATGTAACGAAGGAATCATATTTTTAAAAATAATTATATATATATATATATATATATATATATATATATATAAATATAAACTGTTAGCATATATATATATATATATATATATATATATATATATATATATAATAAATATAAACTGTTAGCATATATATATATATATATATGCTAATAGTTTATTTTATCATACTTTTATGCTTCTGGAACTCTTGGCAGGTTTACTGCTTCCCAGTTAACTTTGATCTTCAAAAATTTAAATGAAATTTTAATCATTAACTTCTGTCTTCTTAATTTTTGTTCTTTTATTGTTCTCTCCTTAATAATAATATTTTTTTTCTAGTATTCTCTAACAGACACTCATTAACCTCTTGTCATAACAGCTTCATTTCCTTGCATGGGGTGAAATGATTTAAAATCATATATATATATATATATATATATATATATATATATATATATATGTAGTGGACTCTCGCGTCATATTCAACTTATGACAGTCAAGCAGCTCAGCTCCTAGGAACCGACAGCCTAGACACCAGCATGTATGATTTGATTATAGTGGTGAAGGCTTTGTGCAGAACTAATCACACATTTTGAAGGGCCAAATACAAAGACCTGGTGCACTACGTGCCACAAGGTCCCCAAATGACCCTCGACATGTTTTGAATTCAGAGTTGTCCTTCTCCTAAACCAGTTGCCATCCAAGGCTATAGAATCCAGTCTCTCCTGCTATTTATCCATAGCTGGAAGGAGAAGAAGTGGATTAATACTTTTCCCAAGGGTATTAGCACATAAGCGAATGTAATGAATTCGACTTGAATTCAAACTCGGCTCTCCAATTCCTCAATTCAAGCCACTATCCACTACTTGTATATAGGATGGGGCCTCAAGCCTTGAATGGAAACCTTCCTAGAGATTGGGTCTTGATAAAAATACTTGTACTTGAACTACTGTGAGTGTCTGAGTTGGGCAACAGGAAGAACATCCAGCCTTGTAAAATTTTTCTTAAATCATTATGATAAAAGATCCTCCATCAGGCAGGATCCATCTTACTTTGTATGGGATTAATCCTGGTCCTACCTCAACAAAAATTATGGCTATCTATGTACACATACATGTATGTATTTATGTAGTCAGTGAATTAAGGTCTTCTAATAATTAAGGCAAGTCAATTAAAGTTGCTAATTAATGCTGCCAAAATATTTAAGGCAGTCAATTTTAAAGTCATCAAATAATTAGCCCCCAAGGACCAGAAATTGCCAAGAAATGAGGTTAGATCAATAAGTTTGTAGCCAGACCCCAATTATTAGCTGAATTTTGATTTGAAATGTTAACTGTATAATATCCAATCTATGTAATCAGTAGTGAAGTGTTGGGCTAAGTGCATTGACAAAGGTGGAGATTATGTAGGGTTGTTGTTGTTGGGATACCACTTGTACTGCAGCTGCAGCAGCAATGAGTGTGTCTCGGGCAAAATTACCTATCAGAACCTATACTTTTCAGGATGTTTTCTGTATTTTCATTCTCCTATACTGGTTGCCAACTAAATGATTCAAACTGACCTACTATTTCACCCATAGTTGAGCAAAAGAGGGAGAAGAAATAGCTTCATGTCTTTCCCAAGGGTTTTGGGGCCAAATGAATGCAGACAGCCTTGGCTTGATTTTGAACTTGATTCACAGAACCCATTTTCTATAATGAATAAGCATTCTGCCAACTGCTTTGCAAAATGTTTTTTTCTTTAAATAAATTCTTTCTGTCACTAAGCTACAAACTAATTGATTTATCTCCATAAACTGACTCATACATTTACTTTTTATACTATTAATACAGGTTAAATATATATAACATCCTTCAGGCCTGTAAAATGTAAGATTAATGGTTTCGCCAAAAATCATAGGTGATTGACGAATTCATTCTATTCATAACATGATTCCAATTACAAATATAAGGAAAAAAGAAATCATTTCAATAAGAATCCCAAAAAATGTTAATGAAGAACAAGTAAAATTAAAGGTAAGTCTATTGAAATTGATGACTAAACACGGTTACATGTCTAAAAATGGCATTTATCTAGGAACATTATTGTAATTCTTAAAAAAAGAGAAACTACAAGAATTGGTAACATCAGATCTAAGTAAATAGTTGAATGATGAATTTTTCAACTACTGACTCATATGTCTGGCATTATTTTTTGAAAACAAAACTATGTAAGAGCCTGAAAAACTCAAAACAGGACTACAGATGAGTAGACAGATGAATGTCGGTCTGTAGATGAGAAAAAAAGAAATTGTTGTTCATTTGGATTTCCTTTTTAATAATAAAAATACTATGTCTAGATCACTGTTATTTATTTTCTTAACAATACTTTGCTTGTTTTATTTATTATAATCTTTAAACTCCCAAAGGCCCCATCCCCAACACCATGACATAACAATCAGAATTTTAACTGCATTTGTAGTGTAATAAATTAACTAGTTATAAAATGATGATAATTATTAAACATGCTATTTGGATTCTATAATAAGCAGAAAACCACTGTGGCATAATGATTTTGAGATGCCTGTTAATTTTAACACCTCCAAAATGAAACTGCTCTATATTAATCATCTTAAAGAATATTCTTTGCCTTCTTCAGCATGGCCAATGCTAACCTCTGGGAGAGCAACTCACTACATCTTCTTAGTCTCACATTTTCCACTTACATGAAGTGGAATGATTATATTGTAACAATTGCTAAGTCTGTTGCTAGGAAATCTAAAATCTATCTTACACATTTAAAAGTCTACTATTCGTCCATGCATCAAATATTGCTGCCACATCTGGTCTTGTTTTATTTCTAAAGATTTTATGACAATATAGTCATCATCCATCTCCTTGATTCCTGTTCTTTTATTGTCCTTTCTGTTTCTTTCACTCTCAGTAACCCCTTGCTTCTTAGTGGGATATGAGAATTTGCATATGGACAGCTCAATGAGGAAAAACTATTCTTAGCCGATGCATTTCATCCTCTAAGGATCTTTATTAAGGCAAATGCAGGGGAGAATACGCGTTGGCTAAGAATAGTATTTTCTCTTGTCTTTTTATTCATTTTGTTCCTTTAGAGATAGACTATCTGAAAATAATGTATACACACACACACACATATGACAAACCAAAGTATTGGTAAAACTAACACAAATCCTGCCAAGTGACCAAAAAAAGGAAAAAAAAAAAAAGAGAATACCAAAAACCAATAAATCATGAGAAAAACTGGCAAAAGCCACCTACATTGAGAAGAAAAGATCAAAAGTCTCAAGTAAAGGTCTGTTTATTGATTTGTATATACACTGTGCGATGGGTAAATTGTCGTCTAAATTACACAAAAAAAAAAAAATGAAAATAACTGTGTCATCTCATTTTAACAGATATATTTACTGAAATTACACAAAAATATCTTGAAATACTAAATAGTAAATTTATTCAATAAAATCACCAATGAATTCAACCACAGCCTACAGGTGACTTTGAAACCTCCTGAAACTCTTCTAGACGGTCTCTTTGTTTAAGTTGTTGAATGCTGCCATAATCCTTGCCTTCAGTTCATCTTTGATGTTACAAGGACTTTTTTGGTCTCTCGCTTAACTGTGCCCAACACATAATATTCAAGGAGGTTGCAGCCTACATCAAGTGCCTTGAAGAGGTAGTGCTGTCCTGGGTCAAGAGGGTGGCTGCTGGAAGACCCTATGTCTGGCAAAAGGACTCTGCATCATGCCACACAAGCAGGAGAACCCAGTCATAACTGTCAGACAATTTCAGCAACCACATCCTCCCTTACATCTGGCCACCTAATTCCCCAGACTGCAACCCTCCTTAATTATTATGCATGGGGTGCAGTTGAGTGAGAGAGCAAAAAAACTCCTTGTAAAACCAAAGATGAACTGAAAGCAAGGATTATGGCAGCATTCACCAACTTAAACAAGGAGACGGTCTAGAAAAGTTGCCTAAGATTCTGAAGTTGTCTGGAGGCTGTAGCTGAAGCCAATAGCAATTTTGCTGAATAAATTTACTTTTTAGTATTTCAAAATATTTTTGTGTAATTTTGGTAAATATATATGTTAAAATGAGATATCAGTGTCATT